GGTCTGCGCAACAGCCTGTCCCCACTTCCCATCAGTGGAGACTTCTGAAGCTTTTAAAAAGCTTCAGAGGAATCCTTTCACTTCAAGTCCATTACCTAATTCATTTGCTGTTCCCTTCTGAGAAATGCATCCTACACTTTGGGTTACTATATATATTCATGTATAAGTCTAGAAATTTAAGTTAAAAATTAACAAAAAAAAAACCTGAGTTGACTTATCCATGGGTCAAGTAAATACTGCATCTTAACTCTTATTTAAAAGAAGGAACATTTCCTGATGAAATGCAAGAGTATAATCTGTCCTGGAAGCGTCAACCCTCTCTACTTTCTCATCCATCCAGTCTTAAGAGTAAGCAAAAAGAGCTATGTCTGCTGGAATTTTGTAAGTTCTTTGACATTGTTTTGCTTTGCTTCATCTTTAAATCCTTTCCTATATGCCCCTGAGTTTTACCCTCAACTTATCCATGGGCCTTAGTAAAATCCATAATTTTAGCCCCAAAACTTGCCCTTGACTTATAGTTGAGTATATACAGTATGTCTTGCCTGCTGCACAAAGTGGGTGACACCAGCAAGTCAGTTACTAAAATATACAAGTCTCAAGTCAAGTCACGTCAATGTATCATTTTTGCCAAATCAAGTCCAAATTAAGTCATCAAAGCGACTTGAGTCTGACTTAAGTCTAAGTCAATTGACTCAAGTCTACATCACTGGATAATGAAAATGTTATTTTTTGGACTAGAACTCTCAAAATCTCCCAGCTACTGGTGTGAATTTTAGCCCTAAAGTTAACCTTGTCAAGCTCTCTTTCTTGCTTTCCTTCAGTGAACAGCCTCTGTTAGTCACAGCTTAGAATTAAGCTTTTAGTTTCACATGAAAGTCTATCTATTATTTCTTGGTTCAAGCAGTGTTGAAGGACAATGGAATGAATGCAAAAACCCTCAGACTTCTAAACAAATTTGGAAGAGTATTACATTTCAAGATCATTAGCATATGGGGATTACTTGAATGTAGAACTACATTGGGGCAAATGTTATTGTAGATATCTTGAAAGTTAGTACATTAAAAAAAGAGAAATCAAATAGTCTTATGCAAATTGATGTAGCAAACACATAATGTTTATAAATAATATGTCAGTGATATATGCGTTCAACATTATCTCAACGAATAGACCAAATTATTAGATTAGAACAACACAGCAGCTATTCTGAGCTTATGTTCAAAATGCAACATCACTCACCCGTCTCCTTCTATATTGCTTATAGAACACTACTGATAGACTGAAGGCCCATAGCCAAGGGCTTAGTTATTATTTCCTAATTGATTATTGTTGTTCCTTGCCTCTGTATCTCCTGGATTTGTACATCTCTCCACTCGGCCTTTTCTCTTTTAGTTTTCAATTTCCTCTTCCCTTCATTGCTTTTACCAGAGAATTCAAGCTGCAAAATCCATCAGGACATCCCCTCATCCTCCAAAAGGTTATTCACATGTGTTACCAGCTACACATTGTTTGATATATATTCTGCCCCAAAATAATTTATTTGAGGGATTTATACCCTCCTTTTCAACCAATTTCCTTCTTTAGTTTTATCCCAAGAAATTCTGCTTTGTGAAGGTAATTTTTCATTCCCCCCCATGTAGGCAATCACAATTATATCTGCCGTTGTAAATTCAACCCCAACAAAATATTTCCTTCTAAAGCACCATTTCTCAGTTCCTCTGTCTCCTCTTGCTAGGAGTTCTAACGTAAGAAGGTTTTTGCTTACTTTATGTTGATGTTTGTGTGTCTAAAGCCAAACCAAAAAGCTTAGGCAATTTGGCTTCAAAGGAATTGAGAAAAATCTGTTTGATGCTTACAAGGGAAAGACACTTCAATCCTCTGGAAATATCCCAAAAGAAACATGCACTTCTTCGTGTTTAAAAATCTTATGGCATTTCAGGGAGAGGGGCAAAATACCTTGCAAAAGCTGCTCTTTGAGGGATATTTATTGAACTAATTCTAATTGAAATATCAAGAATTTTAACTTGTGTCATTTTCTTCTCAGTGCTGTTCCTTCCCTTATGTTTTTTACCTAAGGGTATATAACAGTGCAACCTGATGCATGTCGATTCAGAAGTTTGTCCTACTGAACCCAATAGTCTTTAGGGGCAATTCTAAATCCTCATAGCCTGGGAATAATACAGTGGCCACTTACAAATCACCAAAAAGAATATATGCATCACTAAAAAAAATGGATGCAGGTTTCATATGGTTTGCATACATTAATTTTAGATATACGTTAATTTATAGGATACAAATTCTAGGCATCTTAGTTAAAATTAGATTAATATCATTAAGCAAAGCAAAAGCAAAGCAGCTTATTTATATACTGCTTCATATCATGCTATGGGATGTCTAAGCGGTTTACAACTGTGAGCTGATTGCCCCCCAACAAGCTGGGTACTCATTTTAGCGACCTCGGAAGGATGCAGGCCTGAGTCGAGCCTCAGCCCTGGCTGGTATTGAACCCGCAACCTTGTGGTCTATGAGTGAGTGGCTGCAGTACAGGCATTTAACCACTGCGCCACCATAATGATCAATACCACAGCCTTTCCAGTGTCTGTGTATGGTTGTGAAAGCATGACATGAGGAAAGAAAGATAACAGGAAAAGAGATGTGGTGCTGAAGGAGAGCTCTATGGATACCAGAGTCTGCCAAAAACAGAAATAAATGGAAGCGCGTCTACACTGGCTGCTTAATCTGGGGGACAGTCTGGAGCATTATGTCCTGGACTGGCCCCAGTCTGACCATGATGACAATCACACACACTGGGCCAAATATGGTGTGACACCATTTTATTGTGCACACAAATCAGCTGGGCTGATACTGCATCAGCCCCACTGGTCCGTCTCCTGTTTTCAGAGCCATCACTGCTGCTTGCTTGCAGGCAGGAGCTCTGTTTAAAGCCTGCTTAACATGCCACTGCTACTGCTGCTGAAGGCAGAAATTGCCTCTTGGACATGTGATCAACAGGAAGGCAGCATAACCAATGGTAAGGGATTATGGGTAGTCCAAAACATTTGGAGGGCCAAAAGTTTCTCCACTTCTGGTCTAAGCCACTTAATAGAATACAGTCGGCCTTCCATATCCACAGATTCTTTATCCATGGATTCAACCATTCATGGCTTGGAAATATTTTTAAAATACAGTATATAAATTCCAAAAAGCAAATCTTAATTTTACTGTTTTATATCAGGGACACCATTTCACTATGCCATTATATTTAATGGGACCTGAGCATCCATGGATTTTTGGAACTAAACCACAGTGGATACCAAAGGCCCACTGTTTTCTTTCTCAGTAAAAGTAATCGGTCCATGGAATAGAAGGAACTTTATTTGTCTAAGAAGAATATGAAAATGGATGATGTGGCAATGGCCCAACTCATTGTCAGTATGTTGTCAATATATAATAGCAGCCTGTAGAAACTGGTTTCTGACAAGGGAAAACTACCCCTCTGCTCAGTCACTCCACTCACTTGCTGAAAGAAAATGTTATTAAAAATGACACAATTCTCTCTTACATCTACTTCAGCACAGACATATACTATGTACCAGTATATATCACGCACAGAGAGGGCCACTTTGTTGTTGTTGTGTTACTTTTACATGCCTTCAAGTCAACTCTGACTTACAGCAACCCTATCTTATGGTTTTCTTTGTAAGGTTTCTTCAGAGGGAGTTTGCCATTGCTTTTCTCTGAGGTTGAGGTCACTCAGTGGGTTTTCATGGCTGAATTGGGATTCAAACCCTAGTCTCCAAGTCCAGCACTCAAACCACTACATCATATTGGTTCTTGACACCAGTTTATACCTTGGAAAATCCATATATTTCATCAAGCATTCTTGATTCCAGTTGCCACTTGTTGGCAGTATTTCACATGATAACAGCAATACAATTCTCTTCTCTCATTTACTTTGGGGGAATAGAAAATTGTCTGAATCAAAAGGAGGTATAATGGTTAAGCTGTGATGTGGGAACAGGGAATTTGAAGATATTGATGTATATACACATTTTGTAACACCCTACAAAAAACATGGCTATAGAAGAGATACACACTAAACGAGAGATACGGGAGCACTGATCTGCAGTGAAACTTATGTTGCTGTAATCAAAAATTACATTTGCTGAGGCAGATGGATCTGAAAGGAAGTCTCTTGTTGTGTTGCTAATGTTGTTAAATTTTAT